TTCATTTTTTAGTACTTTTATATTTATGAGTATATCATGACATATTTAATAATCCTTTTATGTTGTAAATGTAGTAAAACAAAGTTGAATTTATCAACATACATTGTATATATATGTGCAATCATAAAATAAGACTTGTTGAATTTCCAGTAGCATTCAACAATTTGATGCAATAGAAAACATTGTCACTGTCGTAGATTGATATGTATGCAGAAAACTAGTAAAAAGAAATGCGAGATTTTAAAAACATTACAGATGTTTTACTGAGTGAAATGTTCCATTAAATAAATGACATAAACACATTCCATGGGAAAAATTGAAGTTCATTACTCAATGGGTTTCTTTGGAAGTTGAAACGCTCAAGCAAACTGTCAGAAAATTCTAGGTTTCAAGAAGTGTTTGTCTCAAGACTACTTGCCCAAGAGAAAAAAAATGCAAGGCGTGTTTAAATTTAAAGCATATTTTCAGGTAAATGGCATGTATTGATTCCAGCTGAATCACTAACAAAACTTTCTGAATCCTTTTAGTCTAAATTCGCGAAAAGGACATGTTTTACAGTAGTGTCCATTTTAGTGATAAAAATTCGTAACAATTAAGCGTTTCTGCAATTCAAGATCAAATCGACCTTTACACATAAATTAGTCAGGTTTCAATTCAAAATGGCAGACTGGTTAAAAAAAAAATATGAGATACCAATGTTTTTTTCAGGGAACATTGTCATACAGTTCAGTCTCCTTGAACCTTACCCAACGAGTGTTCTTAGAATGGTTGCATTTTGCAACTTGTCAAAGAAAAAACAGCACTACATTGTGACGGTTTTATTCATCAATCCTTGTTTCCACAATTCATGGTGTATAGTACCCTCATTTGACAGACCTGCTAGGCAGATTGACAAACGACTTTAAAGGCATAAATTATTCACTGGGTTTTAATTTTACTATTTTCGTTGGTAAATACAGATCGCTAAATTAAATCCATGTGAACATGTAAAATTGTTTCCCCAGACATATTCGCGAATTCTACCAATACCTCAAAATAGCGAAATTGAATGGTTTTACAGTATTCAAGGACTTAAGGGTGGTATAATGCCCCCCCCCCCCATACTTTGAAGTGTCCTCGTAATAACATACATCTCCTCCTCCCAAGGATAAATCATGGGAATGCCGAAATCTAAAAAGTTTAGAACAGAATCAGCGAACTTCATTGTGTAGAGTCCGGTCAAACCCTGGTGGCAGCCATGTTTGTTTTTATTATTAGAAGACACTTACGCCCGTAATCATTTATATTTGGAATTCGCATTTCCTAATATGGTAGGATGAATATACCCTGTAAAATACCGCAAAATTACGAGACCCTGTAATTTATGGCGTTACGCTGACAGATGTATAATTATGTTGGATATGATGAACTCATTTGAAGTTCAACTCTGCCATGTCACATTTTCTTCATAGATTCAGAGCTATATTGTAGACCATATTTAAAAAAAAAAAAAACGATTGATATTCAAACTATAGATCATCTATCTATCATACATTATATCACAAGATATTTATATCTGTCAATGTTAATCAGTTACGTAGATTCTAATCAACACATGGTTGTATAGTATTTGTATTGATAAAAACAACTTAGAGTTATTTGCTCAAGACAAGTTTTCAGTTGTACTTGGCAAAATTCAAAACATGCTTCATTATGGTTTCTTTGAAGTGTACATCAACCAAAAATGCATTGATTGTATACTGAAATCATTAAATATTTTTTGGTTCGACACATTTTCAATTACATAAGCCTGTGCCACTAACAGAGCTAATACAGTAGTTGTTATCATCCATATATACAAGGTTTGTCATATAGCATGATAATTCATATTGGATGGGTATTCCTTCATGACTGAAGACGACTCAAGCATAATACACACTTTCTCACGCCCCATATTAATTCTTTATTAAAACTTGTATGATATATAAAATTTGACATTTCTAGGTTACACACAAAACCAGAATGGGAGACTGGACACAAATGAACCATAGATGTGTATATATCTCTTGGTATGGTTTCTGACAAAGGATCAACATGTCTGAGCAAAATGAAATAGGCAAGTTTAGAGGCATTTTGTGACCCATTTAAAATAGTTATATCCCCAATAAAGCAACTGTACGAAAAGTACATTGGATAATTGCAATCAGGTCTGTGAAGTGATGAAGGCGATATCATCCTGAAAGATAAATTCACAGATGACATCAAGTATGTTTTTTCTGCTGGAGCTCATTTCTGTGTAAAGAATATACAAAATTTGAGAGTACTGTAAAATCTGTATTAGAAGCCATGGCTTCTATTAAAATGATACAAAGCAACAGAGGGGATGCGGCTTCTATTAGAGCATCTACACATATGAGAAATGATGAATTTTTGGTTCTCAATTGTACAAAAAGATTGGGTGCGACTTCTATTACAGATTTTACGGTACTAACACTTTACTTTTATACATAAATGTGAATTCAGTGTTAATAGACAAAAGCCTGGAGTATAGGACAAACACACAAGAAAAAAAAAATGCAAAAACTAATGTAATTTGTCAAACTTCATGATATATACTGAAAAGGAACTTCAAGGGTTCTAGTCTCATATGAGGTAAAGTTAAATACGGAGAACAAAACGGTAAATAAGTAGCTACACATATGGTTAAAATGGATGTAATAAATGCTTAAAGTTACATTCCCACTTTGCAAATATCACTCAGAACAAGGTAAAAACATAATGTGTTAAACTGATACAGTTTTAGCTCAAACATATGATATATAATCCTACAATATTTTGTTAGATTGACGTCAGCAGACGCAAGCGATAGCCGATGGATTGACTCTGGCAGTTATCAGCACATGACATCATGCTATGCGACATCAGAGGTACATTACTTGGGGTTTGCAACTCGCATAGTACTGTATGGTGACATCATGTCAAGATCCCATTCAAGTCTCTTCTCGTAGATAGCGAGACTGAGGCTACGACCTTCTGACATGACGCATATCAATGTTCAAGGTTTGTAATGAAAAAAATAAACTTTTCTTGTCACTATCATAGTGAAAAATGTAATACATCGAAAATGTACAGAAAATATAGTTCTCGTAATCCGTCATATCGTGGGCAGCTATTTTGATCCACCTGGACATCCCAGTATCCTAGTTACCTCGGGCATGCGCATTCGCATTTTTTCTGAGTTGGAACGTTTATGCGAGAGCGAGATTGTGACGGGATCTTGTTATCATGTCACCGTAGTTACAAACCCCAAGTAATGTACCTCTGGCGACATGCATTGTTACACATCTCCTGTTCTCATTTTCTCTACAACATAACTAGTCTTCAAGGACAAACAAAGCCTTCCTAACTCACTGTCTATTGTTTACAAAGCCTTCCTAACTCACTGTCTATTGTTTACAAAGCCTTCCTAACTCACTGTCTATTGTTTACAAAGTGTTATGGTGTATACAATGATCAGGAGGTGGTACCTCACATGTGCAAAATGAGAATGTAAATTTGAACGAAATTACGTGATTAGTAGAATGTAAAACATAGCATATACAATAATTCAAACCTGCATTGGGTAAAATACTGTGAAAGACTTTATTTTAGCTGGAATTTATTTTCGCTGAAAAGACTTTTTTGCTTGTTTTGTATGGAGTTTATTTTCACTGCTTCTTGACGAGTTGAAGGTAAAACGTAGGAAAAAAGCTATATTCAGTGGATTTTATGTTTCCCTGAATCATCCCTTCAGCGAAAATAATGTATTTAACAGTAATATACAGTTATTGATGTTCTTTGCCATGTATATATCAATATATACGTGATATATATTTAGTTGAGTTATTTAATGAATAAATTAGTTCATTATTAGACATTGCTATATATCTACGGTATCATATCAACCAATACTGCAATATTAGTTAATTCTATCCCATAATATGATTTATAATGATACAAAAAATATCCTGATTATGCATAAAACAGCATTGTTTTTAAGTGTCTCTGGTCAGCCTGAGTGAAATATTTATAGCATGGAGACGTACACAATAATCAAGACTATTCTTGCCTCTCACTTGAAACATTTGCCATATTCTGGGCAATCACATCTGTTGTGACACTGACATTCACTTCTAGGCATCAAGCTTAATCAGGTTGGGAGAGCGTTTTACTTCTGAAGTGTACATTATTGTCTATGATGTACAAAAATTGATAACATTCACAGCAATGTTTACAAATTCCTCTTGTACTGTAAACTGACTAATTTTGACTTGGTTTAAAATTCACTGATTTACCACTTAAGACATATTCAGTGGGTTTTAAAATCACAGTGTTATCATTTAGGATAATGTGTTCTATGCTCAACTTCACATATTCACCAAAGTTTTAATTTAGCGCATTTTCCAGTTTTGCGAAATAAGCAAAATTAAAACCCAGTGAATAATTAACCCTTTTACAGTATATATTTAGAAACCTATCATAAGTGTAAGAACAACATTGGAGCCATGTTTTGTTTGAAGTTCTATTGTACAGTGCAGTAAAAGTACCAACTTGCACTTGTTTGAATTTTACATTAAATACTGTATGTGTGTGATAAACTTTGCAATATGGAACACAAAATCTTATAAAATATGTAGCACATGATAAACATGTTCTAGATTAAAGTTTAGATTAAGTTTGCAGAGTATATTTTAGAATTGGACGAGTCATAATAATTTGTTCAAGCATCGTGACTGATGCTCTACATGAATTTCCTTGGACGGTATTTGGTCACTCACTATCAGTGGGAAAAGGACAAGTATTTTATATTTTAATAATTTTATAGTAAATTTCACATTTAAACTTTGCACTAGTCTGAAAGTTTCTGAATTTAATAAATGCATTTATATTTAAGAGGCATCAGATCTTGGATTTTCAGCTCAGTGGATGACAATTAGTATGGCATATTTGGAAAAAGTGAATGACCAGAACCAGCTAGTCTTGTTTTGATTCAAGACGACTTAAATCACTTAATTTGATTGGCTGTTGGGAGTCACCTGATTGGTGTCCAACACAAGAACATGTCTACATACATTAAAAACAATATCTACCTCGTACACATCTAAAATTAATTATTAGTGATATGTGCTCATCTCTCTCGCAAATAAATTTCACAATCATAACATAGCCACGTAATTATGGTGTAGCACAATTTGGTTTCTCAATTGCCTTTTTTTCAACTATATACAGATTAAAAATGAAAAAAAAAAACTATTGCCGAAATTATTTAAAATTGTTACTATACAAAAAATGTAAATATAAAGGTTTTCAGCTTTTCCCACCAGATCATATATTTGCTTGATATTCCAGAAAAAGAAGTTGATCAATAAGAAAACAGTCGCTGGGATTCTTCACAAACTTTTTCAGTCCTTTCATTAGCTCTCCTTCGTCCACAGACTGTTCGCCCATTCCTTCGCCAAACCTGGCTTGTTTTAAGTAGCTATACGCTAGCTTGAATTCCTTCTTGCCAAGCTTTCTCTCACATTCACTGATTGTAGTGGTTAAAGAAAACAAACTGTGAATATGGCATGTAAGTATGACTACACAATGAACAATAATGGTTTTGTCAACAGTGTGACCTCTAATAGGACTGACCAAGGACACATACTAAACAGCATTGCATCATGGGATTTAGTCTCGAGACTAAAAATGACTTAGGCTCTGAGCATCATTTTTCACAAGAAAGAAAACGTGATTTCTTGCGAATGCTGCGCTTGTTTTAATTGGTTGATGTAGCAAATTGACACATTTTCAAAGGCCTTCAAATTAAAATAAGAGACAATACAACTTTAAAAATCCCAGAAATCAGACAGAGTCAGCTTCTTGACTTCTAGGGAGAGGGTACTCAGGAATAAACATCATATGTGGCTGTAAGTAATTTCTGAAGCGACAAACTAAACTGTTGAGGCACCTGATTAAATTTGCATTTACTTATTTTCTTGAAAATGTGAATTAAACTTACCATATTACAAATTCTGTTTTTCAAGATTACTATATTAATTTTTGATTTTCTTTTGCATCTTTGCATTATGCCAAGAAATAATCAAAATTAGTTGCTTCATCAAAACTCTCCCTGCATATGTGACTTGTCATATCAGCTAAGATGGCATAACTGGTTTTCAGTAAATACAGTACAGTTTGAGTGCAACTTAAACCCATGCTGGCTCTCACTCTCAGCTAATTCAGCCTTTTTCATAAAAACTTAAAATTTAAAAACAAGCCATGCATGGCACAGTCCCAGTTAGTTACCGAATTTAAGATATATAGTTTTGTTTATAGTAATATAGCTTGAATATAATCAGGAATATGATTATGATGATTGTTTAACATTTAAATGATTGACATTTGTATTGACCGTCAAACAAGTATTGAGAGATAATGCTCTGAAACAGCATTAATTA